GGCTACTGATTGGTCCGGGATATGGATTAGTCCGGGATATGGATGAGGCCGGGCTACATATTGGTCTGGGATATGGATAAGTCCGGGATATGGATGAGTCCGGGCTACTGATTGGTCCGGGATATGGATTAGTCCGGGATATGAATGAGTCAGGGCTACTGATTAGTCCGGGATATGGATTAATCCGGGCTACTGATTGGTCCGGGATATGGATTAGTCCGGGCTACTGATTGGTCCGGGATATGGATTAGTCCGGGATATGAATGAGTCAGGGCTACTGATTAGTCCGGGATATGGATTAATCCGGGCTACTGATTGGTCCGGGATATGGATTAGTCCGGGCTACTGATTGGTCCGGGATATGGATTAGTCCGGGATATGGATGAGTCCGGGCTACTGATTGGTCCGGGATATGGATTAGTCCGGGATATGGATGAGTCCGGGCTACTGATTGGTCCGGGATATGGATTAGTCCGGGCTACTGATTGGTCCGGGATATGGATTAGTCCGGGATATGGATGAGTCCGGGCTACTGAATGGTCCGGGATATGGATTAGTCCGGGATATGGGTGAGTCCGGGCTACTGATTAGTCCGGGATATGGATGAGTCCGGGCTACTGATTGGTCCGGGATATGGATTAGTCCGGGCTACTGATTGGTCCGGGATATGGATTAGTCCGGGATAAGGATGAATCGGGGCTACAGATTGGTCCGGAATATGGATAAGTCCGGGATGCGGCGTATGCACAGTTACTGGTATTGAACATTACATGTTCAGAAAGCCTGCCAAAAGCACGGGTCAAGTGGCTAGCTATAGCATCGATCAAATCTACGAGATTATATTGTATAAATGTATCTCATAGCCAACACCACTCAAATATATAGCTCCTGTCAAACTTTAGCAGTATAGCTGGTAGGCACAAAATGATCCAAGCGTAGTTAAGTCTGCACAATAGACATTTCTGTATCGACTAATCTATATGTGTTATCTGTCAACTAATATCTACTATTAAATGTTTCTATCAGAGTGATTATTCGCACTGGTAATGTCTATAAATACAACAGGCCAAGATTATAGCTACCACTGGTGAAGACGTAAGAAACAACTGTTCAAGTCTATAGCTACTACTGGTCAAGTCTACAGCTTACAATGGTCAAGACTATTTCCTAACGCTGGCAAAGTCTATATCTAACACTGGTCAAGTCTATAGAGCACTGGTTATAAGTCTACAGCTTACACTGGTCAAGTCTATACATAACACTGGTAAAGTCTACAGCAAACACTGGTCAAGTCTATATCTACAACAGGCCAAGAGATTATAGTAACTACTGGGCAAGACTTCAGCAACTGTTCAAGTCTATATCTACCACAGGTCAATTCTATATATAACCCTGGTCAAGTCTAAAGAGCACTGGTCAAGTCTACAACTAACAGAGGTCAAGACTATACCTAATACTGGTTAAGGCTATAGCTATTACTGGTCAAGTATATACCTAACACTGGTCAAGTCTACAACTAACTCTGGTCAAGTCTATACCTGACACTAGTCAAGTCTATACCTAATACTCGTCAAGTAGATACCTAACACTGGTCACATCTGGTCAAATCTACATGTTTATCTAAAACTAAGTCAGTAAACAACACTGAACAAGTTTTTTTATAATGACCTTTAATTAGATATTACATCAGTATAAACAGTTGATATGGAATCCCTTATTTCTGTTATTTAGCGATAACTTGTCGACACGTAAATGTGGCCTTCCATGTACACTTTTGGGGTTCCGTCCGGGACATCCGGCTAATTATTATAATTTCCTTGTTTTACTTATCTGGTCTCCTCTGATCAGTTATTTCCTTATGCATCGCCTATCAACATTATAGTACCAGCTAAATATACACCATGTTCATGTAGCTTCCATTTGAAAGTCAATATATATATATATACATTGTACCACCAGTCAAGTCTGCACAAGAATGGAACAACATTCCCTTAAGGCGAATAAATGTTCACATGAATTCAATGCATAGGAGAATCCGTGCAGGGATTCGTGCAAAAGGTGCCCACACCAGGTACTGAAGTGTCATTTTGTTTTTCGCGGGTATCCCACTTTGAGTAACTACTGATGACACGAGTGACGTCACACAGACTTTTCTTCTACAGTATTGTAAAGAGTAGACTTTTCTCTTCATATTGATATACAATTTTGTACAAATTTCCCAAAATATCATAGGCCATTGATTGCATAATTTAATTGTACGTTTCTTTTTTGTTCAGTATATCAATAATATCAATTAGTTGAGATATAAATTTTAGTTTGTAATGTTTCTATAGCTTCATTCGTTAACAGTTATACATTATGACAGCTGTTGGTTTACAGTTGGTTAAAGTTACTTTGTTTATATTGAACAGTACAAGTGTACTGGTACACTTTAATACAAGCGCGCGCGCATCGAACGCACCCATTCGGGCAGCTGAATCGCCAACAACAAACTCACATCGTAGTTTTGGTTTGTTAGGGGTTGAACGTCATCGCAACATCCAGTGTCATATGAGGACGGGTGCCTAGGGAGACACAACAGCCAGTGTCATATGACGACGGGTGCCTAGGTAGACACAACAGCCAGTGTCATATGAGGACGGGTGCTTCGGGAGACACAACAGCCAGTGTCATATGAGGACGGGTGCCTAGGGAAACACAACAGCCAGTGTCATAAGAGGACGGGTGCCTAGGGAGACACAACAACCAGGGTCATATGAGGACGGGGGCCTAGGGAGACACAACAGCCAGGGTCATATGAGGACGTGTGCCTAGGGAAACACAACAGCCAGTGTCATATGACGACGGGTCCCTAGGTAGACACAACAGCCAGTGTCATATGATGAAGGGTACCTAGGGAGCCACAACAGCCAGTGTCATATGAGGATGGGTTCCTAGGGAGACACAACAGCCAGTATCATATGAGGACGGGTGCCTAGGGAGAAACAACAGCCAGTGTCATATGAGGCCGGGTGCCGAGGGAGACACAACAGCCAGTGTCATAAGAGGACGGGTGCCTAGGGAGACACAATAGCCAGTGTCATATGAGGACGGGGGCCTAGAGAGACACAACAACCAGGGCCATATGGGGACGGGTGCCTAGGGAAACACAACAGCCAGTGTCATATGAGGCCGGGTGCCTAGGGAGACACAACAACCAGTGTCATATGAGGACGGGTGCCAAGGGAGACACAACAGCCAGTGTCATATCAGGACTGGTGCCTAGAGAGACACAACAACCAGGGTCATATGAGGACGGGTGCTTCGGGAGACACAACAGCCAGTGTCATAAGAGGACGGGTGCCTAGGGAGACACACCAGCCAGTGTCATATGAGGACGTGTGCCTAGGGAGACACAACAGCCAGTGGCATATGAGGACGGGTGCCTAGGGAGATACAACAACCAGGGTCATACGAGGACGGGTGCCTAGGGAGACACAACAGCCAGTGTCATATGAGGACGGGTGCCTAGGGAGACACCATCTAAACCAGAATGTAGGTAGAAGGGAAAGAAGACAAGTGGAAAAGGAAACGATACAAATCCGAAATGTTGTAATGGGGGCAGAAGATAAATTTTGGTCTCTTCCATGTTCCCTTCGTAGGAGACATGGAAGAACATCCAACGACTCTTCAGGAGGCCCAACACGTAAAAAACATGGAAATACTTTCTGAAAAAAATGAAGTCATAGACAACAATATTATCCAACGGGTCAATACAGATTCAGCATGAATTTATGTAATACTAATAGTAATGTCACCCATCAATTTCGATAAAAGCAACAACAAACAAATGTACCTAAATCAACTGGTCAGTCGTGGGTGAGACTTATGAAGCCATATATACAAATCAATAATATTGAATAAGCAAATAATTCAAAAACTACTGCCAACAATCTCCCACGGAGCACGTCAAAAATTCCCTAAGGCAATTGGATAAATTAATTGAAACAAATAAGTTATAAAGAAAATAAAGAAATGATAAAAACGAAAACAATGCAGAAGCTAACATGTAAGTTAATGAGTAAGTTAATAGGTCCAAAACAAAGGACTTTCACATTAACGGATATCATTTTATCCTCATAACTTCCTACTGCTGATATCCTCCTCACATTCTTCATATAGTAAATTAGCAAACTTATAAGTATACCCCTTATCTTGTTCTGGCCTAAAGAAATTCCGATGAGAAAATAGAGCGTTCAAACCAATGTCCTTTACTTCCTCAACCAAATAGAATCAAGAAACGGTCACTGATATCTTTTAGAAAACTTAAGCAATAATCAAAATTCAACTCTTTAAAGGTTATGTTTTGGAAATAGACGGGAAAATGGAAAATTGCATCTTGAAATAGGGAAATGTTTACAAATTGTCAAAGAGTATACAACTTATTTTTCTTATAGTTCAGGTTGAAATTTTATACTTTGTTATAACATTTACATATGCATTTTTATAATGTTATGATTTAGCCTGGAATTATATTATCTGCGGATCATTTTTTTCCCTTTCTCAGACAAGTTTAGAAGGTCGATAACCAATACCGTAAATACGTTTACACGTTTACACCAATCATGGCCTCCTCTTTAAAAAGATAGTAATGGAAATAAAGCGGCTTTATAGCGTCTTTCTCCAAATTCTCCAAAAAGATCAACACAGTGAACTCCTACAACAGAACTCAAATAAATCAACATGAACAAAGCGATCTATTTGCATAAATTCCCTTCAAACCTATAGGAGATAAAGAGTCAAAAGGTCTCCTTATTGCTCAGTAATAATATACTGTTTTGAATAAAGCATAATATTATCAAACTTTTGATACAACCAGCTACACGTGATAGCTATCAAATTCTGAAGTACTTCACTGACTTATTTACAATTGACATGAAGCACACCCGTGTTGAAGCATTCAAGCTGATTGATTTCAAGTCTATAGCAAATAAATGAGAGTGTCCGCTTACTCGTTCAAGTTATTTACATCTAGTAAAACGTTTCTTACAATCCGCTCTGAACTTTCTGTCCATTATTCCATACACAATCGGATTGACAATGTTGTTGAAAATGTAGAATGTGTGGAAAAATCTGAATAGGAGTAGCTGACTTTGTGGGATTGTTGACCAGAAGTCTCGGTTGAGTGTCTGTTCTATCATGAGCCACACCTTGGGACCAAAGGTGACGATGTAGATGAACGTGATGAGTATAAAGATGATAGCAAGACGGACACCCTGTCGGTCTGCAACGCTTCCTCTGCGTCCAACTGATCCCGTCGTTGAAACCACACTCTGTTGCCGTTTGGGATACTGCCTATCAGGTATGCATTGCTTGCGAGGCTTATTTCCTATATTTGGAGTATTAATCCCATTTTTGATTCCGTTTTCTTTTGTTTCCTTGGTATCTTCATCTGACTTGCTTTCGTTGCTGGTATGAATCTTCATTTGAATGTCTTCGATTGCATCATTGCTGCAAGAGGTACTAGTGTATGACGTGACAGATCCCATCCTCAGTCGGTGCTTTTTCTGTCGTAATATCACCCGAATAATGTTACCGTAACACATGAACAGAACCACGAACCTTATCATAGTCACCACAAACAGAAACACTTTGTAGATAATGTGACCAGTGGCGTGTTCTTCGTCTTTCGTGTCGATACACTTCCATGTCTGAATTGTATAACCGCTTTTCAGTTTCATAGGAACCTGTTCCGCTCGGTAAATAATGAGAGCAGGGAATGAAAGCACCAAGCCAATTACAAAAATACCAATGATAACCTTTCTCTTGACGGAGAGTGTCATTTGACGACCAAAGGGCCGGCAAAGCTTGAGGTAACGGTCAACGGCAATGACGAGAAGGAAATCGGCCGATACCCCGGCAAATATGATACCCAGAAACGCCGCCATTTTACATCCGACATTATTGTCGAACACTAGCGGGTGCGTCTGGGCGTATATCCCCGTCCCCGATGAGACAACACACGATATAAGGTCCACCAGCGCTAGCAAAGGAATGAAGTACCGGTCATCTCGCACGGGTTTCTTACGTGCCCAGTACACAAACATCACTAAACTGTTTCCATATACCCCGATGACGAGGTAAAACCATAGGACAAGTGTCAGTGGAAGAAATGTTTCTTTGATGATATTGTTGACTGATAACAGCGGAGGCAGGTTAGGAATACTAGTTGGTATAGCCAGGCTGTTGGACATATTTGCTGGAGGCTCAAACGTCACGTTCATATTGAGGATTTAAAAACCGGTCCGGTATTTCGTGGATGCGTACAGGTTGACACACAGCAGTAGATTTGATACAGTATCGTCTGTCTTGTGGAGTACACCATATACATCCGGGACATATTGAGAGAGCACACTATACAATACACGAGCTACATAGTTTTATAGTCTAAATGCCCAGCAAACAATTTGTAATGCAATTCTTGTACAGTTTGCAAATGTTTAAACCAATCATGGTACGGTCATTTCTGTTGTATGACCTGTCGATAAGTTGGAATCCCGAGACGAGAGTAACTAATCGAGGACTTACCTATGCAGGAGTATAATTTTTGGTTATATCGACACATTTCAAAACTCACTTACGTTATACAAAAGTCTAACCATAAACTAATTATCAACAGCATAGAGATTAACTTGTTGGTTCCCTTTTCCCTAATTTAGTGCTGTTTTGAAACACTTCTAGTACTCGTATTGAATACATCAGCACAAACTAGCACACTTTTATGACGTTACATGAGCATATTACCACATTAAAAGTGTATTTTACAATAGCACATTACAAAAATATACACATATAAGTACATTACAAGTGTACATTAAACACAGTACATTGAAGCGTGTCGGGATGGGAGTCAAGGGGCACGTATAACCACGTGCTGCATCGACAAAAGAAGTTTTTAACGAGATCTTTTTTTTTTACTTCCAATTTCATTTAACTGATTGGCTAAAAGCAATTTTCTGATTGTGCGTCTTTTTCCCGGGCATCCGTTGTCTTCCATCCAATTCACACACACGAGCAATATGGTTTTTTTTCTAATAAGAACAACTACTACAGAATGAAAAGTGTTTTGTTTACTGAATTTGTCTTTGCTTTGTATAGCACACAACGTAACTATTTCCATTCATAAAAAGCGGGATGGCATACTTAATGTTTTAGTACAAGCAATCCTGAAAAAGACAACTTTACATAACCGTTCTCGGACTTTATATAGACGGCAGACAGACCAAGTAGAACATCCCAGCCTTTAATATATACAGCCAACGTTGACAGTTCTGCTGTTTCAGTGCCCACGAATCCGATTAAGAAAATTGTAACAACAAAGGGAAAATAATAGGAAAAGGGTAATAAAAATATATCTAGGCGATAAATACTACATGTAAGTTTATGAATAAATTAATAGGACTTTCACACTAACGGATATCATTTTATCCTCATCAATTCCTCCTGCTGATATCCTCGACAAAATCATCTGACTAGTAAACTAGCAAACTTACAAGTACATGCTTTACCTTGACCTGGCCTAAAGTACTGTCGGAGAGAAAATTAAAGTATATATTTATATATACAATTTTTTGATTGATGAAATTATTCCGTATGTTTTTTATAGATTTTGATTCCGTATTTTGTGACATCAGTTCTCAATATTTATGTAAGTTAAAGATATGTCAAGGCCAGCTGCCATTGGTTAAAATGGGTCAAGGTTAATGCCCATTGGTCAGAGGTAGCAACGAGAGCCCCATGGGGTGGAAGCTGATAAACCCCTCACTCTCGCTGCTGTATCAAGACGCCATATTGGTTTGAGAAAAAATTGTGAAAACTTAAATTGATTATTCTGGACGTTCCAGTTCACGAAACGTTATTTGATCGACCACAACTCTGCGTTAGTGTCGAAAAAGGCCCCGTTCTATGAACGGTAAGTTTGTTTCTTTGAACTTATGAGGGATTCTTTATGAATTTAGGCAACATTCGACAACGTCACATTACATGTAGAATTGACACAAGAATTGAGACAATTTTTTTTAATTTTTCACTGTCCCATCCCATCCCTCCTGCATTTAGGCCTACAAGGTTAACCGCTTTAAAGCGAGAATCTATATCTAGTTTTTGTGGGTACTGCAATAGTGCTAAAGGCAGGATGGATCTTCATGGTTCAACGGAATATCGGGTGCTCATAGCCGGACATAGTTTAATCGCCCGTCTAGAGACATTTGTAAACACTTCCCCCTCGCGACACAATATGGGCCTGTCGACGGATGCAGTTTATTTTCTAGGGGTACCTGGGGCATCTGTATCCTCCCTTCGAACTTCATTGTTGCCGTCTGTTGACCGTTTTCGGCACTTAGGTCTACAGAGATGTATCTTACAGATAGGGGGCAATGACATCAGTCATCCTTCCGCGAGAGTTTCGACTGTGGTTTCCAATATCGTTGGTTTGGTCGAGTTGTAGTTAAAATCACAAATCCAACAAGTCAGCGTTTGTCATCTCCTTACCCGCGGGAAAACTAGGAAACATAAGGGCGACGTCACTATCGACATTTACAATAGCCGTGTGTTGAGGGCAAACGAGATGTTAGCTGAGGTATTTGTAAACATGGCGGAGGTGACTTTTTGGTCTCATTATCGGGATCTGTGGGATCCAACGGCCGTTTACGGTAATGATGGGGTCCATTTTGACAACTTAAAACCTTACTATCACTCAATGAGATGTTGTGTTATTCATACCCTGAAAAGATAGCTTTCGATACCACCCTCTTGTGCGATTGTCCAATTGTTTACATTTTACTTTGGAGATATGGACGAGTTACTTCCCTTATACATTCCAATCAAGCGGCCCACCCATGCATGACTGTAGTGGTTATCCCCCCTTTGATCAATATGTGACTGGGAAAGTGAGTGTTGTTCCTGACACATATGTATGATTCGTATGCACTTATTTTTATACTATTTTATTTTCACACCACCACTGTTGGTGCCATGTATAGGGCATTATTTATTTGCTGCCTTTGTTAATGCTGGGTAAACATGCCCATTTTTTGAAAACAGAATATTTTCCAAAATTATGTTCATGTGTCAGGTTTAAAGAGTTCAGGTGAGGTTCTCGTTGAATACTCCTTTGGGCGACACTTTTGGAGTGGCAATTTAATTTTCTGGTAAATGTTCAGTTCTTTTGATGTTATTTTAATAACTCATTGCCGCTTTCCTTTTGTGTTCATTTAAAATTTAATACATTGTCATAATAATGTTTGACTTAGTTTTGGGTCCCAGGTGTCGGTTGATCATGTTTACTGCTTGCAGTTTACATATACGCCATACTTCATTTTGATATGAAGGTGTAAAATCGGCCGTACACTAGTGATCAAAAATACCGGTGTGACCCTTGTCTGGGCACTCCTTTGGGCGACTCCTATGGGGTTAACTGAATATACATAAATGCAGTTTACCCCTTGGTGTTCATGTATTTATGGCTGTTTACCAGTTCATATTAATGGCAGATATATCATTACAGGTGGTTTCTGTATGAATTTAAATTACCATTTCAAAGGGCATATTTATTTTACACTTGCATATTTGACACACTTTTTATTCTAAGTGTTGCTGTTAGCGTTTTCTGCGCTCTGTATTGTTTTTGATTGTAGGTTATGGCTCCAAAAAAGAGAAGCTCAAAGGAGGTCACTCCAAGGCGACGGGCGGCTGTGGCAAACCCATATGCTCCACCAACTCGGACTTTACCGGCCACACCCACTACCACAGAGGCACCATCACGGAATGAAGATCCGGCATATTTTAATCAATATTCCGCTCAGTTGCAAGGCATGATAAGAGAGGCTTTCAATGCAGGTATTGAAGAAGCTCGTCTTCAATTTCATCGGGAAACCCAGTCCCTTCAGGGTCAACAACACAATATTTCTACACCAGGCCTTTCAACATCTTCACAGATGCAGGAACCACAAGCTCCCGTAACACCACATGTGGTACCAAATACGTCGCAGGTGACGAACCCAATGGCTACACCTGTATCATCATCAGTGACCATGGAGCAGACCACCATGCTCAGCCAAGAGCCTTCACAGACACATGACCTGGGGCCCACACTGACCTCTGCCATTGGTGGGTGCCATACACAGTCTGCAGCGTCCATTGCTTTACAATTTGCATGGCAAATACAAAGAACCGAATGGCGGCTTTGTCTTATTTCGACAACTTCCCACCCGCTACATTTACATCAATCATTGTCTCCTTTTTAAAACTTTTTGTTGATAAAAAGTTTAAAAGGTCGATAGCCAAAACCGCAAAGTACGTTAACATCAATCATGGCCTCCTCTTTTGAAAGATAGTAATGGAAATAACGCGGTTTTTATAGCGTTTATTTCCAAAGAAATCTACACAGTGAACTCCTACCACAGAACTTAAACATACTGACATTAAATTCACCAGTTTTGGCTAATTCGGGCAAAAAGGAATCAGATTAAGCGAAGCGTTATATCAAAATAATTACGGAGGAATATTGTATTTTCCCGACATACATGGCGACCACATGGTGTGTGTTCTCACCCGCATCTACGATCGTCAATTGGGGCTACCAAAATGATGGGAAATGTTATAAAACATTTATAAAAATATAACAAATTGATCTATTTGCATAAATACCCTTCAATACCTATATGAGATAAAGAGTCGAAATGTCTTCTTTTTGCTCAGTAATAAGTTTCTGTTTTGAGTAAAAACTAATATTATCATATGTCGAGCCAGTAGCTAACACGTTTTAAGTCTATACCTAACACTTGTAAAGAACACTTGTCAAATTTATACCTTACACTTGTAAAATCTGTATCTAAAACTTGTATCTAAAAAGTGTGGAGCCTCCTTAATTTGATATTAAATTGTATATTCAGTTAATATAGAGTCCCTTATTTCTATAATTTAGCGATAACTTGTCGCCACGTAACAGTGGCCTACCATGTATACATTGAGGGTCCGTCCGGGACATCCAGCTAACTGTTAAAATCTCCTTGTTTCCTCGTCCTGTTTCCTTTGATAAGTTATTTCTACATACGTACTCATACTGAAAACATAAACAAACAATGATCCAAACATGTTTTGAGGCGACAAATTTATAAGCAAAAAGCTACAGAAATAGTACATAAAATGTCTTTTCCAAAATAATAAAATATTTTCGGAGAATAATGATGCAAAAGACAACACAATTATCCAACGGGTCACTATATATTCAGCATGAATATTTAACACTAACATTAAATTCACCCATCGTTGTCGATAAAAGCATCAGCCAACTAATGTCTGGTCAGCTGTTGGTGAGACTCATGAAGTCATAAACAACTCAATAATATTGAATAAGCAAAGATATCAAAATCTACGGCCAATTAACACTCTCTCATAGAGCACGCAAATTCACTTGGACAATTGGATAACTAAGTATATGAATACATTAATAGGTCTCAAACAAAGGAATTTCACACTTACGGATATCGTTTTATCCTCATTAATTCCTGCAAATGATATTCTTCGCAAATTCATCTTATTAGTACAACAAACTAACAAGTGCATCCTTGACCTTGACCTGGTTTCAAGTACTTCCGGTGCGAAAATAGGGCGTGTATAGAACACCATAAACAAAGTGATCAAACCAATGTCCCTCAATTCCTCAACAAAATAGAAATCAGAAACGGTCACTGATTTCTTTCTAAAACTAATAGCATAATCGAAATTCAACTCTTTAAATGTTATTATTTGGAAATATACGGGAAAATGTACTGTTGAGGTAGCGGAGTACAGTAGAAATGTCTTGACCCTTTAGGGCATGTCTCGGATAAACATGGATAGCGGATGCATCCTGCACAACACACCTACATATATATATTTATGAACTACATTTTTAATACGTGTTTTTTTAGAAGAATGATTATTTTTTCAAAAAGGAATTTCCCCAGATTTGGGACTTGTGAAAACCATGGTTACCACATCAAAAAACGCCAAATGATGCCAAAAAACATTATTTTTAACCCAAAATTTGACCCACGCAAGTAGGTTTTTGTTCTTAAACCCTGTCTTAAATTAAATATTACCTGCTCGGTCACAGATACTCACGTTTTGGCATAGGTCGTTAGACTAGATTTTTCACAATATTTACACATGTGCCGAGTACAAAAATAGACTACATGAAATGCTAGCTTTTGTTGTGTAGACACAGATTCGTAAATGGCCAAAAATGTAGTCAAATTTGAATTATTGTTTTTTTTTAAATGTGAAGCCCACATAGTCCAATCCATCATGCATATGCCAATTTAAGAGCTGATTTTTTTTTTTACTTTTGATACATGTAATATTACAGGGGTTATTCTTTGTACAAAAATATCACCCCTGTCACCGTACGCTACTGTACACTGCTACCTTACCAATTGTCAAAGGAGTATACAATTTATTTTTCATATCGTTCGGGTTGACATTATATTCTTAATTATACCACATTTACATATGCATTTCAAATAACGTTATGATTTAGCCTGAATTTACATTAACTGTTGATAAAACATTTCCCCTTTTCAGATAAGTTTAAAAGGTCGGTAGCCAATACGGTAAAGTACGTTTACATCAATCATTGACTCCTCTTTAAAGGAATAGTTATGGCGAAAAAGAGGTTATATAGCGTCTATCTCCAAACAGATCTTCACAATAAACTCTTACCACAGAACTTAAACATATTGACATTAAATTCACCAGGCTTGGCTAATTCGGGCAAAATTCGATCAGATTTAGAGTAGTGTTATTAAATGTACGGAGGAACAATGTACTTGTCCGAAATACATGGCAATCACGTGGTTTGTGTGATAATCCGAACATACGACCTTAAATTGGGACTACATATATGATTCGAAATGTTAAAAAGCATATATAAATATAACAAAGTATATTTGCATAAATTCCCTTCAATACCTATATGAGATATAGGGTTAAAATTTCTCCTTATTGCTCAGTAATAAGATACTGTTTTGAATAAAGCATAATATTATCAAAATTTTGATACAACCAGCTACACGTGATAGCTATCAAATTCTGAAGTACTTCATTGACTTATTTACAATTGACATGAAGCACACCCGTGTTGAAGCATTCAAGCTGATTGCTTTCAAATCTATAGCACATAAATGAGAGTGTCCGCTTACTCGTTCAAGTTATTTACATCTAGTAAAACGTTTCTTACAATCCGCTCTGAACCGTCTGTCCATTATTCCATACACAATCGGATTTACAATGTTGTTGAAAATGTAGAATGAGTGTAAAAACCTGAAAAGGAGTAGCTGACCTTGAGGGACCGTTGACCAGAAGTCTCGGTTGAGTGACTGTTCTACCATGAGCCACACCTTAGGACCATAGGTGACGATGTAGATGAACGTGATGAGGATAAAGATGATGGTAAGACGGACACCCTGTCGGTCTGTAACGCTTCCTCTGCGTCCAACTGATCCCGTCGTTGACACCACACTCTGTTTCCGTTTGGGATACTGCCTATCAGGTATGTATTGCTTGCGAGGCTTAATTCCTATAATTGGAGTATTAATCCCATTTTCGAATCCGTTTTCTTTTGTTTCCTTGGTATCTTCGTCTGACTTGCCTTCGTTGCTGTTATGAACATTCATTTTAATGTGTTCGACTGCATCGTTGCTGCATGAGGTACTAGTGTATGACGTGACAGATCCCATCCTCAGTCGTTGTTTTCTCTGCCGAAATATCACCCAAATAATGTTACCGTAACACAGGAACAGAACCACGAACCTTATCATAGTCATCACAAACAGAAACACTTTGTAGATAATGTGACCTGTGGCGTGTTCTTCGTCTTTCGTGTCAATACACTTCCATGTCTGAATTGTATAACCGCTTTTCAGTTTCATAGGAACCTGCTCCGTTCGGTAAATACTGAGAGCAGGGAGTGAAAACGCTAAGCTAATTACAAAAATACCAATGATAGCATTTTTCTTGATGGGGAGTGTCATTTGACGACCAAAGGGCCGGCAAAGCTTGAGGAAACGGTCAACGGCAATGACGAGAAGGCAATTGGCTGATATCCCGGCAAACAGGATACCCAGAAACGCTGCCATTTTACATCCGATATTACTGTCGAACATCAGCGGGTACGTCTGGGCGTATATCCCTGTTCCCGACGAGACAGCACACGATATAAGATCCACCAGCGCAAGCAAAGGAATGAAGTACCGGTCTTCTCGCACGGGTTTCTTACGTGTCCAGTACACAAACATCACTAAACTGTTTCCAAAAACACCGATGAGGAGGTAAAACCATAGAACAACTGTCAGAGGAAGAAATTTTCCTTTGATGATATTGTTGACTAATAACAACGGAGGCAGTTTAGGAGTACCAGTTGTAATTGCCAGGCTGTTGGACATATTTGCTGGAGGCTCGAACGTCACGTTCATGTTGAGGATTTTAAGACTGGTCCAGTATTCCGTAGATGCTCACAGATTGCCCTACAGCAGTAGATTTGATACAGTATCATGTGTCATGTGGAGTACAACATATACATCCGGGACATATTGAGAGAGCACATTATACACGAGCCACACAGACAAAATATGCCGTTTGTTTCAGAAAGCAATTATTATCTTTCATAAAGTTAAACTTTATACATTTAACAAGCGATATGATCTTATTAGGTATTACATCCTGTTGGCAAGGACCGTATACCGGACAATACATATATAAGCTTCTTGACATTTGAGATACATTCGTAATTGGCCATGCTTGTGTGATAATCATTTTTCCTACTTGCGTACACCTGTTCGGCATGCATTTCTCGCATAGTTTTCACACGTTTAAACCAATCATTATACGGTGTTTTCTCTTGTAGCTGGAAACCCGAGACGATGAGCATAACCGATACAAATCAAAACTCACTTTATATATACAAAAGTCTAACAATACATTGATTTTCACCTGTATATAGCTTAACTTGTTGGTTCCCTTTTCCCTAATTTAGTGCTGTTTTGAAACACTACTAGTACTCGTATTGAATACATCAGCAAAAAACTAGCACACTTTTATGACGTTACATGAGCATATTTCAACATTAAAAGTGTATTTTACAATAGCATATTACAAAAATATACACATATAAGTACATTACAAATGTACATTAAACACAGTACATTGAAGCGTGTCGGGATGGGAGTCAAGGGGCACGTATAACCACGTGCTGCATCGACAAAAGAAGTTTTTAACGGATCTTTTGTTTTACATCCATATCATTTTAATAATTGGTTAAAAGAAATTTTCTGATGGTGCGTCTTTTTCCGGGCATCCGTTGTTTTTCCATCAAATTCACACACACGAAAAATATGTTGTTTTTTCTAACAAGCAAAAAAATCCTGAACTACTATAGAATGAAAAGTGTTTTGTTTACTGAATTTGTCTTTGCTTTGTATAGCACACAACTTAATTATTTCCTTTCATAAAAAAGCAAGATGGCATACTTAATGTTTTAGTTCAAGCAATCCTGAAAAAGACAACTATACATAACCGTTCTCGGATTTTTTTATAGACGGCAGACAGACCAAGTAGAACATCCCAGCCTTCAATATATACAGCCAACGTTGACAGTTCTGCTATTTCAGTGACAACGAATCCGATCAAAAGAACTGTACACTGTAACGACAAAGGAAAAAGATTAGGAAAAGGGTAATTAAATATATCTATGCGATGAATACTTACATGTAAGTTAATGAGTAAGTTAATACAATGTAGGTCTCAAACAAAGGACTTTCACAATAACGGATATAATTTATCATCATTACTTCCTCCTGTTGTTATGCTCGACAAAATCATCTAACTAGTAAACTAGCAAAGTTACAAGTACATCCTTTACTTTGACCTGGCCAATGGGCGTGTATAAAACACCATAAGCAAACTTATCAAACCAATGTCCACTACTTCCTAAACCAAATAGAAATGTACACTGATTTCTTTTAGAAAACTAACTGCACGATCGAAATTCAACTCTTTAAATGTTATTATTTGGAAATGTACAGGAACACGTACAATCCTTTCTCGTACATGTTATAGGCGAAATGTTTACAAATTGTCAAAAGGGTATACAATTTATTTTTCATTAAGGTGTGGTTGAAATTATATACTTTGTTATATCATTTACATATGACATTTTAATAGTGTTATGATTAAGCCTGGCTAATATTAGTTGTTGATAAAAAGTTTAAAAGGTCGATAGCCAATACCGCAAAGTACGTTAACATCAATCATGGCCTCCTCTTTTGAAAGATAGTAATGGAAATAACGCGGTTTTTATTGCGTTTATCTCCAAAGAGATCTACACAGTCAATTCCTTCCACAGAACTTAAACATACTGACATTAAATTCACCAGTTTTGGCTTATTCGGTCAAAACTCAATCAGATTAAGTGAAGCGTTATATCAAAAACGTAACGGTGGAATATTATACTTGCCCAACATTCATGGCGATCAGATGGTGTGTGTTCTGCCCCGAACCTACGACCTTCAATCGGGGCTACCAAAATGATTGGAAATGTTATAAAAAAATATATAAAAAATATAACAAATTGATCTATTTGCATAAATAGCCTTCAATACCCATATGAGATAAGGAGTAAAAATTTCTCCTTTTTGCTCAGTAATAAGTTTCTGTTCTGAGTAAAACCTAATATTATCATATGTCGAGCCAGTAGCTACAGCTGTAACACGTTGTAAGTCTATACCTAACATTTGTAAAGAACATTGGTCAAATTTATACCTAACACTTGTAAAGAACACTTGTCAAATTTATACCTAACACTTGCAAAATTTGTATCTAAAACTTGTATCTTAAAAGTGTGGAGCCTCCTTAATTTGATATTAACTTGTATATTCAGTTAATATAGAGTCCATTATTTCTATAATTTAGCGATAACTTGTCGTCACATAACTGTGGCCTATCATGTACACATTGAGGGTGCCGTCCGGGACATCCAGCTAACTGTTAAAATCTCCTCGTTTCCTAGTCCTGTTTCCTTTGATAAGTTATTTCTTACTCATCGCCATCAACATTCTAGAACCAACGAAATCTACATAATGTACATGTAGCTTCCTTGATCAATATATATACATTGTACCACCTGTCAAGTCTGCATCTCCAATCTATAGCTTACACCGAGCACTCCCATACTTACATGTACATGTACAACCAGTTAACATTTTATTTATATAGCCTTTGAGGTCTACAAAAGTATATATATATATATTTGCCACACATTAAGTGTGACCATCAACGAAAAAGTCTACAAAATTCAATACATACCATCAGACCAATAATAATAATAATAATGATTATTTATTTTATAGCAAACATGAAGCAAGTTTTATCAACTTATACATCAAAATTCATCCTTGTTAGCCTGGATGAACATTTGCTATGTCTGTATATGTAATTAACACTGCAGCTAACAAGTATATACCTAACACTAGTGAATTCTACAGCCAAGCTCAAAAACTTTCTTGTGACTTCTTAATACTGGCCCCGTCATATTGCTATACTCAAACATCCTTGATTCAGTTAAATCTTTTGATGTTCTTATGCTGTAAGTTAGTTTCTCATCCATCAAATCAAACGGAAATGATACATACGTTCACATACTGAAAACATCAACATACAATGATCCAAACATGTTTTAATGCGACTTATTTATAAGCAAAAAAAATAAGCAAAAAATGTATTTTCTGAAAAAAATAAAATACTTTCGGAGAATAATGAAGCCTTAGACAACACAATTATCCAACGGGTCTTTATATATTCAGCATGAATATGTAGCACTAACATTAAATGCACCCATCGTTGTCGGTAAAAGCATCAGCCAACTGATGTCTGGTCAGCTGTTGGTGAGACTCATGAAGTCATAAACAAGTCAATAATATTGAATAAGCAATGATATCAAAATATACGGCCAACACTCTGAAAGAGCACGCTAATTCGTTGGTACAATTGGATGATTTATTGCAATAAATAACAAAACAATGATAAAAAGCAAAAAAGCTTACATGTTAGCTTATATGTAGGTTAATATGTCTCAAACAAAGGAATTTCATACTAACGGATATCATTATCCTCATTTCTTCGTCCTATTGGTATCCTTCGCAAATGCATCTAATTTGTAAAACAAAATTACAAGTACATCCTTGACCTTGACCTGACCTCAAGTACTTAAAAAACATTGTGAACCGCAAATAATGTTATGATTTAGCCTGAAATTACATTAACTGTTGATACAAAATTGCCTTTCTCAGACAAGTTTAAAAGGTCGGTAGGCGATACCGTAAAGACGTTTTCAACAATCATGGCCTCCTCTTCTAAGTGTTAGTTTTATAGCGTATATATCGAAAAAGATCTACACATTGAACTCCTACCACAGAACTTAAACATATTGACATTAAATTCACCAGTTTTGGCTAATTCGATCAAAATTCGATTAGATTTAGAGTAGTGTTATTAAATGTACGGAGGAACAATCTACTTGTCCGACATACATGGCGACCACGTGGTTTGTGTACTGACCCGAACCTACGATCTTAAATTAGGACTACAAAAATGATGGGAAATGTTAATCAAAGTACTGAAAATACTGATAGGCTAAACATATTACGCTGTCAATTTACATCATCTTTAAGCTTTAAGGGCACCATCAAGCTAAGTCTGACCATACAAGTCATTATCATAAACTATTGAAGTGGTCAAACAGTAGAACAACATTTTAGAAACTTGATGGCTCACTTAGTTAATCTTAGCTCGGTTAAGACTTCTAATATAAAGAACAAGTTAACAAAAGAAAGTGGAACAAACAATAAAGGTGATTGAGATATTTTATTTTTACATTTATGATTATATTGTAAACATCAAATGTGCTGCCTCTGCCAATATCACTTGATACTATGAATGAAGCTTTTGGTAACTGAATAGCATGCCATTGTGATAACTCGAGATTTATATTGGTAAATAAAATATATGAAATAATATCTGTAAATAACATTGGAATGTTTGGAAATATAAATACAAAATCTACACAAAAACAGGATTTAACATGTACTTTAACCACAAGTTGTAAAATAAATGATTTTTTTAGTTAAGTGATCTTTTACAATCTTCCTGAAAACATTGAACCTTATGAAAAGTCTGATATAAGAAGTTGCATATATGTAATTACATTGTATTTTAACAACCAAATCAATTTTATAATGCAAAATAATCCAGTACCGAGATATCGATCCGCGAAGTGCGCGATTTGCACCTATCGATCTACTGCTAATCAGCGTACTGGTAACTTACGCTTTTCTGGCTGTGACGTCACAAGTTCAACCACCGGCAGCCAGTATGGTACAGAGGGATAGCTGTACGGGGGGTAAGATTGCGAATTGAAAACGGATTTTGAGGAATTTGGTTATGGTGAAGATGATCAAAATGAAAGTAATAAAAAGTTTTACAACTGTAGCTTAAATTTATATAGAATGCCATGTATACTTTACATTAGATTTACAACAGATAAGCGTTTTAAATACGCATGTCAGTCAC